CCATGAAACTGTAAGTGCAAATAAATAAAGTAGGTAGTCATACGTACGTACTTGTGATAGTGGCAGCGTAATTTGAACTCCCGCTTCTCAAACAACTCCACAACGTCCTCGAACCCCAACCCTCCTCCACCGCGGAGCCTCTCCTGCGTCCTGCGGGCGGTGGCGAGCTTGTACCGCTCCATGTCGTACAGCTGCGGGTGCCAATGGTGGTACGGACCGAACGCGAACAGCTGAGGGACGTAAGCGTGGGGGCGGAAGCTCACCATCGGCCGAGGCACGCAGAATATCGACACAGGAGTCTTCATATCCTCTTCCCTGACCTCCTCTTCGACCAGAGCTCGGATTTGGACCACCCATCGGGATTCATCGGCGGGGGACGAGGGGGTTGATGAAAGGTTTCTCGGTGTTGAGGCCATGATATGTTACTCATGTATGTGGGGTGCGTGGAGGGGTTTCTTCCTAGTTTTTATAGTGTGGGATTCTTGGTATTAATTCTTTGCTTGTGTATAGTTGTTATGTACGTACATATTAGATTAATGTGCAATGATACTACTTATTTATCATTTTTGGTAAGAGTTAACCGCATGTACGTACATAGCTTGCATTATGAGAGTGCACGCAGTCACTTATACCCTCTGAACTATTTTATTAGCATTTTGGGCTCCCAGTACTTCCAACTTAAGGCAGTTTTCAAAGTTTATAACCTTAGTGGCTGTTTGGTTGGTTTACTGAAAACCAAGAATAGGAAATTGGGTTATGGAAATCTCAAAAACATCAATTTCCTCCATTTTCATCTCTAAAACTCACCACAACATCCAATAAAATATTATTTTTCATCTAACAACTTATCCACTTTATCCAATAAATTATTATTTTCATCTATCAACTCATCTCATATCATCTCTTAAAAAAAATCAAACACAAGAAATGAGTCACATCATCCGACTCATCTCATCTCATCTTTAAAAATCACCAACATCATCCAATAATATGGTGACAACTCATCTCATCCCATCTCCTATTATATGATTTCCTTTTTTTAGCCAACCAAACAACCATAAAACAATTTTTTTAAGAAATATGTTTCCTATTCTTTGATTTCCTTCTTTTTTTAGCCAAACAAACAGCCTTGTACTTAATATCGAGAACAAAAAGTGATGCGAGGTTCTTCAAGTTAGCATTTTAGCTATATGAATCTGCTTTGTGGTGATATTGAGGGACATATATGGAGGGTATATATTTAAATTGTGGCCCTTGTACTTAATATTCTTTCCTTCACCTAGATTTATAGTTCAAAATTAAACAGTGCCGGGATCCTCACTCCACAGATTATATATAGCTTAGAATTGGTCCAGCCTTAGTTTGGCTTCTTCTTCTTCTTTTTTTTTAACCAAGCCAAGATTGGTCCTGGGAAGGGGAGGGGGTGGACCAATTCTGGTCTGGTTAAAGAGTTAAACATAAACTAAGAAATGCTGGCTAGTTTTGACTCGGCCTTTAGCAAATAAAGAAAATACTCTAAAAAGAGAGGGTCAAGTTTCTCATTAGGGCCTTTGGGCTGGCTCCTTAATTAAAGATGGTCCGGCCTTCCTCTGTGTTCTATCTTTCACAAATTTATGTGTTTTAAAAGCCTATTACTATAGCATTAAAACCGAGATTACTGTAACAAAAAAAATAGTATGTCGTCTTTTGCACGTGTTCACCACTAGCGATTATAAAAAGGAGAACAAGCTACCAGTGCCCGTCTACTCGATCACGTGAGTTCATTAAACGTACATTAAAAAAAGGGACTACTGCTGGGTCATGTGGATTTTGGAAGCTCGAAGTAATTAGCAAACCTTATTAAAGTACACAGTTCATTTATATATACTACTAATTAATTAATTAAGAAATAATTTGGGGTCTTAAATTGTCTTTCTTTGAACTATATTTATAATAACAACGATCGATACAGTTCAATGCGCGCGGTGCAAAGATAAGTGGGTGGCCGGTGCTATTTTTCGTTTCATATAATCTTTGTAGAAACCCAAATTAAGGTATCTTTTTATAATCCTTTTTATATATATAGATAAGATATTTGATAGTTATAAAACTTAAAAAACTTATGGATTTAATTTCCAAATATTTGAAATAGACTCATCAAAAATGTTCAGGAAAGAAATAAATGTGCATGCAGCTAGCAATAAAGAAAGGCTACAAAGCTTTTTTTATTTATGAGAGATAAATAGAAAGAGTAATTCAGTGGAAAACAGATTTGGAAGGGGGAAAAAAATACAAGACCAAACAATAATATTATTACTGCCAGCAGCTGATCTCTTAATTCATTATCAAACATAAAATTAAGATACTTAATTAACTAAGAACTTTAATTATATAAGCAATGCCAAAACATCGAATCTGATATTAGCAATTTATATTCATTTTAAATAGATATATTATTAGTTCATCAGTCTATTTTATTTTATTTAGCTTTAATATCTCCATCTAACCAGGATTTTCTATATAATTTCAGAAATTAATTTTATTTAAATTACACTATAATTTGCTTAGTCGATCTCAGCCTTAGATCTGCTAGCAGCGATATAAACGGTGGATAGAATGACCACGTCGACCCACCGTCATCCACGTGGTAGAGGAATATACATCCCTAAGAAAAATTCCTCAAGGACAAAAAATATGGGACCAATAGAGGGGACAAGTGGTGTGTCCTTCTTCTATTGGATAATGAGTTGGTTATCATTAATGATGACCAACTCATTATCCAATAGTAGGGGGACACCTCACTTGTCCCCCTTATTGGTCTCATATTTTGGGTCCATGTAGCAAAGCTCCATTCCTAAACCCATAGGACGAGATGATATGACATTTGCATGCACGTGAGAAGCCTGCAAATTTCAGCTCGTGTCAGAGGCGTCTCACGTGCAGCCGGGCATCACGTGCTCCTTTGTCTCACTTTGCACACATGTGCATGATTTGGTTAAAGGAAAGGAGGGCACACGTGCATGAACAAGAACGAGGAAAGCGAAGCTCGAAGTGAATATATGGTGTCCAAAAAAAAACATAAACCAGAAGAATAATTAATTTAAATGCGGTGGCATTTTCCGCGGATGCTGTAGGAATTAGGATTGAAATTAAGACAGTTTGACCAAAAGGATATGACCGTCATTTAGTGTATTAATTATTAAGAGGTAACATAATTTATTTAACATTAATCGAGGTTTGAGATTAGATAACGAGTTGAAGGACAGAAGATGTTGGCTCTATATTTCTATTCCATGTTGATTGTTGATGACATGATAGAAAATTCAGATTTTGTGATTCTTTCTTAAACCCCTAAAATTTATGAGTTATTCTCTGACTTTATATTAGAGGCTATTAACTAGACTTACAAAATGATCGATGATAAATTGCAATGAGCAAGGTATAAACTGCATCACTAAGAAATTGTCCTATCTTATCAAGAATCGGTTCTCCAAGTTGATTCCGTTTATGACTGTTTAAATGTTATATCTAATTTCTACTTCGGTGAGATAATGACCACACCAACCTTACAATTGGCCAGACAAGGATGAACACAGACCACTGGCGATATCCTTTTCAGGATTACCTTGTCGTTCACAAGCATTGACATAGATAAGCATTTTTTGTAAAAGGTGTATTATTTGATATTCGGTATAACCGTCAATATTCCACTCAACAAGAGAATATTACCATCGAAACTTGTTTGTGACTATTAAATTTTTTAAATTGCATATCAGCAGAAGTGGGTCTTCTATAGTAATTTATTGTGTTATTCGAAGAGTATGGATGTTTTTTAATACTCTGAATTCTTAGAGGTTTTCCAATTTCATAATCTGACTTATAATCAGATATGTCATCTAATTGAGACTCAACGTTGGATAGAACATTAATGGCAAGAGATTTACCTTTTGACATATCTTTCAACCTTTTAGTTAGTTCCTCATTAAGATTATTCATTTTTTTCACCAAGTTTAAAGGGTTTATTATTTCCTAATTTGATGTTTTCGATGAAAGTCTGTGGAGTAAAAGGTTGTGTGTGTGTGTATATATATGTATATATATATATAAGTTCTTCTACTTTTAAACTTTCAAACAAATGAAAATGAAAGGAAGGTTCCTTACTCTCACTGATATATTTATTGGATAATTTGAGAAACAAGTAAACTATATACAACAAAAATCTAAACCACGTACACATTAATTCATAGATAACAATTACTTGAATTTCTTAACAACGGTTAACACATACTGACATACCTAGCTCATATTATAGATTCACAGAGGCCTTCAAAGAAAGCTCATGGGTCTAATCAGATATTTAGTTCTTTGGTTAGCTTGTTAATTAGAACAATCAATGAAAACTTGTGGTGCAGACACAAGAAGCTACAAAATTTTCAAGTCCCAAAACCTGCCCAATTATAAGAAAAATGCAAACAAAACTTGCACCCCCTACATGTTAGCCATGTCAAAGCCCAAGGCACAAAAGCTCCTCGATTAACCCCCAATCACTTGCCTTAGTTTAGGCTAATGGAGCTCTCAGGCCAAGGAGGAGGAGGCTTGAGCTCCTCACTGGCTAAAGGGGGGGAACACTAAAAACCAGCTCCCACGTTCTCCTCCCTTTCTTTATTCAACAAGCCTTTCCCTTGACAAAATGTAGTCTCGCTTCCCAAGGACTTCATATACTCCTGATAAATTTCACAAAAACCCCAGCTATCTAAAACTTTCATTAGGCCCGTTTGTTTGCAAAAATTAGAAGAGGAAAGCCTGCAAAAGTTCTGAAAAAATCAGAACTTCTGCAGGCTTTCCCCCTCTAATTTTTGCATCCAAACGGGCCCTAAGGGATTCAACAGGAAGAGTAAAAAAGTAGTTTATATAAGCGACCCTAATTCCTATTTTCTTACCTACGTACCCTTATCGAAAACAAGTAATATACAAGCGTTTGATCAGTCTTTTCCTCCCTTCTTCTGGGGCTTCAGGGAACTATGAAGCCTGCATGGTTGGAGGCTCTGGGCTCCCAGGAATTCTTCATCGGCTGCTCCTTCCACGGGAACGCGAAGAAGAACGAGAAGAACATATGCTGCTTGGACTGCTGCGTCAGCATCTGCCCTCACTGCGTAGCCTCGCACCGACACCACAGGCAGGTCAGGCGCTACGTGTACCGCGACGTCGTGAGGTTAGAAGACCTCGACAAGCTCATCGACTGCTCTAACGTCCAGGTTATAAGTTAGTTCCTAGTCATGAAAGATATGCTCTACTGATTGTGGAAATTAATTATTAATCTTTCTAGTTAAGAATTTAATTATCTGTTAATTTCTTGCAGCCGTATACGATTAACAGTTCAAAGGTTGTGTTCCTTAAGAAACGTCCTCAGAGCAGGCAATTCAAGGGGAACAACACGTGCACCTCTTGCGATAGGAGCCTCCAAGAGCCCTATATTTATTGCTCTCTGGGTTGCAAGGTAATCAGCATGAAAATTTGAATGAGGTGTTTTCTTCAATTAGTATTTCCTACGTATTACTATGTTTTTTGTGTAAACCAAACGCCAAAGATGATTACAATTTGTAAGTTTTTTTTTTCATATTTTCACTCAGGGAAACTAAGATAATTCTACAGGTAATGGTTGGAATTGTAGTTGACTACATGATGATCATGTTAGTGCAATTGTGCTCCAACTAAATCATGTGCCAAATGGACCTGCAACTCTTTAATTAAATTGTTTAATTAGTATCAGGAGACAAATTTTAGTTAGAAATCAAAAAAAAAAAAAAAGGCAAAGTTTTGTGAAAATTTCAAAAGACATCCTTAGTTTCATGGAAAGTTCAAAAGATTGTATCGGTCAAAGACACTCTAGGTTAATGAATTGTCCGAGTGAGAGAAACTTTGTTCCTTTTAACAACAGGTCGATTATTTGCTGAGGCACGATGAGGATATCTCGCCGTACCTGAGGACATGCGAGTCTCTACAGCTAGGCCCAGATTTCTTCATCCCTAATGATGTATACTGCAGTGGAGATGATGATGCTGTTGAGACAACTCATTCGACCGTTGTTGAAGGCGACGAGCCCTCGGGCTCATCGGATTCAGAGAATTTCAGCATGCCACGCACCGTGTTCACACGCGAGAAGGGGAGCGGGCTCTACTTTTGCGCAAGATCGGCGAGCGGTGCTTCCGATGAGAAGGTGGTCGCAAACATGAGCAGAAGGAAAGGCGTTCCGCATAGATCCCCGCTGTGTTAAGCTGAGAAAATTTGACTGCATCGATCTATGTCCCTTTCCTGTTTAAAGTTTTATGTGATTCTTTGACCTACTAGTTAATGTATATTTTCCCAGGGATTCCTTAGTCAATTCTTCAACGCGTGTGGTCATGAATTGGAGATTGTTGTTAATTAGAATCTGGCTTCAAAAAGTCTAAAGATGTTGATCGAGATATATAAAATCAGGGGCTATAGTTGTGTTTTTTCGTTAAATTTTAAGTACAATTATGTAAATTAAAGGACCTCGTCAGAGACTATATATCTTGGCGCGTCTTTCACCATTCTGGACCAATGATCGATACCCAACCTCCTCATAATTCACAATAAGCAAATTTTTGATTAGGATGTCACTGATCAATTGGACTAAAGAATATTTTCCATAATAATACCACTACCGTATTTAACCTGTGAAGTTAGTGCATAGATTCTTTTGCCCAAGCAACCACTGAGTATTGTATAGTAATTCATGCTACATTGGCCTCGCTTAATTACGTACTTTGTGTTAGTATTTGTTTGTAAAAAACAAGATAGTCCCACATTGGAATTTTGAGCATTGTTTTAGAGGTTTAAAAGCATTGGATGCTTAGTGGGCTTTGAATAATGGATCAAAGTATAGGCTTCTAAACCCGCGTGCGGGTAGCGCGATTTTGACGCGATTATTAGACGCACCTATGTTCTATTTTTTATATATATAATTATATATTGAATATATTTTATTTTTAATATTTTTTTAAATTTTAAAATTATGAAAAGACAAGACTGTCATAAACCAGCTGACCACTCCCACTGCATGGCCAATGTCTGGTCTCGTATAGACCATTGCGTACATCAAACTTCCGATAGCTGAGGCGTAAGGAACCTTAGCCATACTTTCTTTCTCTTCTTCTGACTGAGGAGACTGATCCTTCGATAGACGAAAATGGCTGGCCAAGGGTGTGCTCTTCTCTTCTTCTGACTGAGGAGACTGATCCTTCGATAGACGAAAATGGCTGGCCAAGGGTGTGCTCACTAGCTTGGCGTCGCCCATGTTGAATATCTGCAAAACACGGTTGATGTACTCCGCCTGAGATAACTACAAGAGATCTCTCTTCTTATCACTCGTGATTTGCATTCCAATGATCTTCTTTGCTAGACCCAAGTCCTTCATGTCAAACTCCTTTGACAGCTGCTGCTTCAAACTCCTGATATCCTCCATATCTGCACCTGTAACCAACATATCATCAACATACAGCAGTAGGATGATATAAGTGGACTGATATCTTTTGAAGTAGCAACAGTGGTTGACATTGCACTTCTGGAAACCTTCCTTGTGCATGAAGCCGTCAAACTTCTTGTACCACCGCCTTGGGGCTTGTTTCAGGCCATACAAGCTTTTCTTGAGTCTGCACACCAGGTTATTCTTCTTTTCTTCTAAGAAACCTTCTGGTTGGTGCATGTATATCTCCTCTTCTAGATCTCCGTGAAGAAACATCGTGAATATGATTAAATTGATTTAGTTAGTTAATGTTACCGACTTACATTTTATTGGTTTATAATTAATTAGGGTATCAAAAGCAATACCTTTTTTTGGGGACAACATTGATGTCGTTGCACTAGCGTTCACTTCTCCTGCTTAACAATCAACTTTTACCCTTCATGTTCCACGCTACGCTACCCATATTCTAGTTTTCCCATCTAACAATGTAAATGTAAATGGATGTTATGAGTTGTCAACATAATTTGCAAAAAATATAGAACTATTCGCTCTTAATTATGAAAGTTTAAAAGTAGTCAGTATAATGATAAAAAAACTTTATTGTTATATTTCGGGTAAACTAATAATTATGATAACTCACATAATAAATTCTGAAATACATATCGTTAGGAGGGTATCTACTACTTTTAACTTAAAAGCAAAACCTTCAAGATATTATTTAAGCAATTTTGTTCGTTTATTCACTGCTCAAGTTGAAGTAAAATTATTTGTTCTACCATTTTTCTTAAAAAACAGTATTTATAACCATAAATTTTTTTCCTTGCAAATGATGACGTTAACTTTTATCTGACATTTCACAAATATAATCTTTTATAGTTCTATTAAAGAAAACCAATAAAACTTGCTAATTATTGTATTATTTTGTTAACTGGTTTTGAGTCCACTCTGTAAATACTAGTAAAAAAACTTATCTCTAAAGTTTTTATAAACAAATATTTATAAAAAAAATTATATTATCAATTTGATGATAGATATATAATACCCACCGCAATCGCGCGGGCTCAACACTAGTATACGTGAAAACAAAACCTATTCAGACAACAGTTCGGAGCAGATCCGTCACTAAACCAGACCCGACCCGATACGATTACTCACCAGTCACCCCCCGGGCGCGCAT